TTCTTTTGATGGCAAAAGGATCCTGTCCCAGTGTGTGGCTGGTTACACAGAACCAGGGTAGAGTAGCTGAAAATTGTCCTTAAGTAAGAGTAATGTCACAACAAAATATCTCAAGTAGAACAACAAAGTCCAAGAAATTACTCAAGTGAGACTAAAATATTCGAGACGTAACATCAGATTTATAATTTAAACTTAATGTCACAGTTCTGTCTTTTGTTTACATGTTATCCCCAGTCCAGCTCCATTTCCAAGCCTTTTCCAGTCCATCTTGTGCTTCCGCTCTGGTTTTCCTACAGCTGCTTCTCATTCCGTAGTCTATATAAACTCCCTCTGCTCTAGATTGTTGACCAGTCAAGAAAGAGGCTCAAGCTCTGTATCTCAAATCCGTTGTTTGCATTTTGTGCAATTCTGTGGTATTCCCTGTTTGAAGAACCTGTTCCTGAGTTTATTCCCCGCTTGTTTTCTGTTAGAGAATTTCCCAGTTTTGAAGGATATTTAAGATTATATATTAAAGCCAATTATTCCTAAGTTGTTTATCAGTATAATTAGTCATATTAAAGCATTAACTGTTGGAACGACAGTTCCAATAGAGTCCATTTGAGTCCAAGTTACCTGCATGATACTTATTGTACTTTAAAGGGCAAAACATTAAATAAGGCACAAAATTTGGTCTTTACAAAGACAGAAGTCATATCTGAAGAAACACAAATGTTCAAATTATTTCATATTGTGTACATAAAGTTTTTCTCACTTGTAGACTTACTCATAGTGGGAAGAGGAACCACTACTATTACCTAAGTAAGAGTATTGTTAAACTGTGCAATTTATTCCTCATGCAGGTAGAAAGGTATGCTGCTAGATTACTATTTACCAAGGTTCCAGCTTGTACCTGTTGCGCAGGGGCCGTAATTACTGTGATACACCAATGTGCACAGCATGGAAGTAAATTAAGATCTTCTATTATAGTAGTTATTACCTTCACTAAGGAGGTTATTTTTGCCGGCGTTTGTTTGTTTGTTGTTTGTTTGTTTTGTTTGTTTGTTTGCCTTTAGCAACATACTCAAAAGTTAGGACCGATTTTGATGAAATCTTTCAGGATTTGTTAGAAAATGTGACAAAGAAAGAACTGATTTCATTTTGGGGGTTGTCCGGAAGAAACCTGGATTTCTGGATCACTTGATTTTAGTTACATTGTGGTATGGCCAAAATTTGTTTCTCATATCTCGGTTAATTATTGACCAAACCCCATGAAATTTGATCAGGGATGGACAATGGGATCCTCTTTCATATTCCAAAGCTGATCCGATCTGATCCAGAAGACTGATTTTATCGCAATTTATATAAAAAATGGGGGTAGTCCTGGCAGAGGTCTGCCTCTCTGAGTGCTTTCTAATTATAGTATATACACCAGTCAAAAGTTTACAACACACCACACTGTTTTCAGTTTTTACTGTTTACTGTTTGACGAAAACATATCTAAACTTTTTGATTGATGAAAGTGTCCACCTTTGTCAGATATAACAGCTGAACACACTCGTGGCTCGTTCTTTTTACAATAGAAATCAAAATATTCTTTCAGAAAGTTCTTCCCAAGTCTGTTGCAGAAGTTCCCATAAATCTGTGGCACTTGTAGGTTGCTTCACTCTTTTGTCCAGTTCATCCCAAACCAGCTCGATGGGGTTTAAGTCTGGAGACTGTGCTGGACACTCATGTTTTCAAGCTTTACCATCTTGTTCTTTTTTCCTGAGGTAGTTTTGGCAGAGCTTGGACTTGTGTTTTGTTTTCTTTTATGTTTTTTTTTAACCTCTGTCTGTTCAGTTCTTACCTTTGTACCATTTCAAGCTCTTCATTGGACTTGCTTGACTTGAATTGCAATAAATAACTGGAAAAGTTAGAGTGTTCTAAAACTTTTGGCCAGTAGTGTGTATTAGGTATAGGTCATGAATCTATTAAAATCTGGATCTCTTTTTGATTTAAATGTGTTTCCTCTTGTGTTTTAAACGTCCTTTTTGAACTTAAACAGCTGCGTTATGGATGTAATCTGTAGCTGTTTAGCCTTCACCATGTTTTTGAACTCTGAATATTTAAAATTTCTCAAAAGTCCATGAAAAAAAAAAAATGAAAATTTACTTCCAGACTCAGAGTAGACTGTTACTGCTGAGCTACTTCGACTTTTTTTTTCATTGTTGGAGTAGTGGCACTATTTTTAAAATATTCTGCTTTTCCAACATGAATATGAATGCTTGATCAAATGTCCAAACTGATCGCTGTGGGAAACATGCATTTAAAAAAAAAGGCCAGCCTACAGGAAACTATATTATCTAAAACGGAGGCTGAATGGGCCTTTGTGCTTCATTCATTTTGTCATAATTAGAACACCATAAGATCAAGCTTGATCAGAGGAACACTCTAGGCCACAAATTTGACTCTATACATACAAGTGGAAATTGTATTCGCATTAAGCCCATATTTATTTTGTCCAAATTAATTCCACCTAGGTGGCTGCTGACTAAGCTTGGCTACACATTGCAATTTAGAATTAACTACAACTCCGGGTCAGAATAGTGATACTAAAAAGTGTCAGAAAACCGGCACGTCTAAGTAGAGGCAGGTCGTAATGAAGGGATGTCGGAATAGGCAGAGGACCCCTTACAGCAGGGGTGTCAAACTCATTTTGGTCCGGGGGTCGTATCCAACTGACTTTGATCCCAAAGGGGCCGAATCAGAAAACTCATGTCATATAAACCCAAAAAATAACAATAAGTTCAAATATTTGTGCAGAGAAACACAAATCTATTACAGAAATCTTTTTTAATTGATGAACTCTTTCTTATTATAATATTATAATATTTATGAACAACCTGAAACTTAAGAAAAATGCAATTTCAACACAAAGTTTTAACATGAACTTGTATAAATAGGAATAAGTCCATTTTTGTTTGTAAAATCCTGCACTCGGCTCCACTTTTCTCATGTTGGGACATTTTTCTGATGAGCGGTGTCACGGTCAACAGTCAAAACGATCGTCCTTTAAGAGCGTTTGGAAAGAAGACAAATCTTCATTTTGTGCTGCTCTGGTGGGAGGGCCACGTACAGAGACTCTGAAGACGCTGCTGTGATAAACACCGCAGAAAATTAACAAGATTTTAATAAAAAATAGAATCTAAATATTTTAGTAGAAAATCAGCCGAGGGCCAGATTAAAGGTCTTGGAGGGCCGGATCTGGCCCCTGGGCCGCATGTTTGACACCTGTGCCTTACAGAATGTCATATTTTGTTTCTGACTGAACTCAGATGTGACTTTTATGTCCCTCCTCACAACAGTTGTACAAACCAAAATAATTACAGAGCTTCAGTTCATTATCACAAGCAGAGATATTAAATCCATGCTGTGTGGGTGCGCCCAGTAGTTTTACCTGTTCACATTCCACAGAGGCTATTTTTATGACTGAGCTATGTGCTCAAAGTGAAAGCATCGTCTGAGCCGAGGTGAGTTTTTGGTTCTCTGACTTTAAATAACACTATTTCTATTTTAAAAATGGTTCACTGGGATTATCCATCTTTATTGTTTGTTTTTATCAGTGGTATAAAGTAATTTCAGGATTATCATTTATCATGATATTTCTCTGTATGAATATATCAATATCATGTGATATCGTGACAGACCTAAGTTCTACTAATACTCACTTTGATCCAGCAGAACTGGGTCACAGGTTTTCCCTAAAGTTGTGACCAGTGCTCAGTGTTGGGAAGGTGACTTCTAAAATGTATTCCCCTATAGATTACAGATTACATACACCAAAATGTAGTTTGTAACGTAATCCATTAAATTACTTAAAGTGAGTAACGTAATCTGAATACTTTGGATTACTTGCTGTAGAGAAGCAAAGACCAGAATATAATAACCTAAGATGTTTTGTCTGCTAAAAGACAATAAAAAGCCCAGACTTTACTCAACCAAATTAAAAATATTATTGATAGAAGAGGAGGAGACATGGTCCATGCAGCATGGTTTAGTCCTGTTAAATCCTGGTTTAGTCCTGGTTTAGTCCTGGTTTAAGTCCTGGTTTAGACCCAGTTTAGACCCGGTTTAGTCCTGTTTAGACCTGTGTTTAGTCCTGCTTTAGACCTGGTTTAGTTTGTTTAGACCTGGTTTAGTTCTGGTTTAGTCCTGGGTTTAGTATGGTTTTAGTCCTGGTTTAATCCTGGTTTAGACCTGGTTTAGTCCTGGTTTAATCCTGGTTTAGACCTGGTTAGTCCTGGTTACCTCCACCAAGGAGGTTATGTTTTGCCGGCGTTTGTTTGTTTTTGTTTGTTTGTCTGTTAGCAACATAACTCAAAAAGTTATTGACAGATTTTGATGAAATTTTCAGGATTTTGTTAGAAATGTGAAAAGGAAGAACTGATTTCATTTTGGAGTGATCCTGGAAGAAATCCTGGATTCTGGATCACTTTGAAATTTTAGTTAACATTGTGGTAAATGGGGCCAAAACATTTGTTTTCTCAATATCTCGGTTAATATTGACCAAACCCCATGAAATTTGACTCAGGGATGACAATTGGATCCTCTTTCATATTCCAAAGGCTGATCCGGATCTGATCAGGAAGACTGATTTTATCGCAATTTATATAAAAATGGGGGTAGTCCTTGGCGGAGGTCTGCGCTCTCTGAGTGCTTTTCTAGTTTGGTCCTGGTTTAGCCCAAAATGTGAAAAACAGGAAAATACTGCCCTGTAATTCATTTATTTCAACAAAGTAACTGTAATCCAATTACCACTCACTGAAACAGTAACTGTAACCGAATACAATTACTCATAATTTGTACTCTGATTACGTAACTCTGGTACATGTAATCTGTTACTCCCCAACACTGCCAGTGCTACTGTCACTTTAGTAAAAGTGGTGTTAAAATGACTAAAGTCTTGTTTCAAATGTAGCAGAGCTCAAATGTAAAGAGTGAAACATGTCTCTCTGTGTTTTTTCCTGCAGGTGAAGCAAGCGGGGAAATGGCTTCAGAGAATCAGCAGATAAAAGGACGTCCCATGATAAAAGAACCTCCAGGGGGCAGCACTGAGCCGCATCTCTCTGGGACAAAGTGAGTCCAGTCATTTGTCATTCACTGTTAAACCCCATTATCTTATGTACTGATTTATTCTGGGGACAGTGCCTAAAACCAAAAAAGGATTCATATAACAGTAGACATATATTTATTTACACTGTTTACATAGTTTAGTGTTAGTATTTACACAGTCCAACAGAGACACACATCATAGAACAATTACACTCACACAACAGTGGAGACAATATTTTTTTATTATGTGTGAAATAACAACAGAAGTACAATAATATAACCTATGCAGTTTAACATAATATTTCATTTTTAGAGCATAAAAACATTAGAGTGAATAATAATGAAAACAGAAAATAATAAGTAACCCCCTACGTTTTATTATATTAAATAAAAAACTCACATGCCTTCATTTACTAGTCAAACAGGGTCAAACTAAAATATACTGTTAAAACACAAACTCTAAAGACATCACCTCTCAAAGTGAAAAAAAAAAAATGCTGGATATCTCTACAAATATGGCCAGGGCAACAAAAGGATGCCACCTCTTTTAATGGAAACACATTTTCAGCCCACAGAGGACTTCGTTTTATAGACACCCAGAAAATCAAAGTGAAATAATGATGTGGCAGGCTCGTCCATTTTGACAAAATGTAATTTCTGCCTTTCAAAATCTTCTCAATATCTTGTGTGATCCCCACATGCTTGTCTGCATGTTTGACAAAGTCGTGGTTTGCTCCTGATGAGACGACAGATGGAGTCTTGTGGAATGTCCTCCCAGATCTGAGTGAAGAACATCACTGAGCTCCTGTAGAGTCTGAGGAGCAACCTAACGGCATCTGATGGGCCCAAACATAATGTCCCAGAGGTTCTATTATGTTTAAGTCAGGTGATCGTTCATCCTCCAGATTCTGCCTGCAGACTCTCACCACCTGAGACCAGACATTGTTGTGCATCAGGAGGAACCCAGGACCTACTGCATCAGCGTACTGTCTGATAATGAGTTCATTCTGATAACTAATCTCTCCATAGATATGCCCGCCCAGACCATCACTGACCCACCACCAAACTGCTCACGCTGAACCATGTTGCAGGCAGCAGAATGTTCTCTTTGTCTTCTCCAGACTCTTTCTCCTTGTCTTCTCCAGACTCTTTCACGTCTATCACAGGAGCTCAGGGTGAACCTGCTCTCATCTGTGTCGTCTTGCAAATGCCATTTGAGCTCCATGGTGCTGTGGAATGAGCACAGGGCCCACTGCAGGACGTGGTGCCTCAAGCCACCCTCATGAAGTCTGTTTCTGATTGTTTGTCTGGACATTCACACCAGTGGCCTCCTGGAGATCATTCTGCAGGGCATGGGCAGTGCAAAACCTGTTCCTTCTGCACAAAGGAGCAGATATTGGTCCTGTTGATGGTTGAGGACCTTCTACAGCCCTGTCCAGCTCTCCTAGAGTAACTGCCTGTTTCCTCCATGTTCTGGAGATTGTGCTGGGAGACACATTAAATCTCTTTGCAACGGCACATTTGGATGTGGCATCCTGGAGAAGTTGGACAACTTCAGTAGGGTTCAGGAATGGCCTCATACTCCCAGTAATGATAATTGCTCTAGCCAAAGCAGCACTAGTGGAAAAGCATCCAAAAAAAGGGAGAAACTTATAATGACCACCACATATAAATCCAGTCGTGTTTTAGGGGTTGACTCATTGTTGCTGGTCTAGTGCATCTGTTGTTCATTTCCATTAAAAGAGGTGGCATCCTTTTGTTCCTAAGACATTGCCCTGTCCTTCTTTGTATAGATAGTCAACAGATTTTTTTTTCATAGAACTGTCACTTATGTAGAGTAGAGAAATATAAAGACATGACATGCTGCTGCTGTTTTTCCATCTTATTGATCCAATAAAAAGGGTCGTGTTACATGTGTCTTTGTCAGACTGATCTAAGCTGACAGGAACAAAGTCTTCTAAGTAACAATACATGATGTTTTCTCTCCACACACAGATCCACAGCCTCAGTGTCCAGTGCTGTGTCCATGAAGAGTGACTTGTCTATAGATGAACTTCCAGTCTTCAGCCCTGAACCTGCTCCTTCAGACTCACTGTAAGAACAAATGTAACACTAAAATAACATGTCATATAAAGATAAATGAGAATTACAGTGTGTGTGTTATGTAATGCTAAAGGCTAAAGTGTTGTAGAAGACAAAAGAGTGAACAGTTCAGTGCAGTACCAATATAAACGAATCCCAGTGTTGAATTACAGATGTGTGATGAAGACGTCAACAATGTCACAGAATCTCCAGAGAAATGGCACCATTTCTACTTGTGATGATCTGAAGATGTTCCTCACACTTCAGGGAGGGCTCTGTGTTTCTCCCAACAACTGTCATTGTACAGATTTGTACAAATAAAATAAAACAGTCATTATAAAATATATCTAGACTACACCCAAGGGGATGGGGTAAGGAAAGGCCGTGCAGTGATGAAAATTTTTACAGTTATACAGCCAGTGTTATTATTTGACTGTTGGGTTTAATGCGTTTCTATAACCTATCTGGGCCTGTCAGAAAATATTAGAATGAACAATAATATTGAAGATCACTTTATGCCACAGACAATGACCCTACAGCAGGAGAATCCCAGAATAAACCTTTTCTAAAAGAAGATATTGTGAATAAAACTGTAATAGGTAAATAGTACAATGACACAATGACACTTCAGTATCTATTCTTTCTGTAAATGATTTGACCATCTATAGCTAACACACTACAAAAATAAGAAGACTTGCTCAGATATTACATACAAATATTTAGCCCTAAATACTAAAATTAATCTCTCTGAACAGTTCATTAGTTCAGTCATTATTGCGACAGGCCTACACAAATCCATACAGTACAAAATGCATTTATCTTTGTGATACTTTGTGTATGTTCAGAGCTCCCATTAAAGTTCTAAAAAGAGTAACTTTTGACATTAGTTGTTGTACAGATGTAGGGAGTATTATCTGTCCCTCTATAGTCTGGTGTAGTGGGTGAGCAGGAGTGTCCATGGTAGAGAGCAGTTTGTCAGTGTCCTCATGTCCGCATGTCATGCTCAAATACCCTTTCTGTGCACAGGACAGGCTTGGAAGCATAAATCACGTGTGTGCACGTACATAAGCAGTCATACCGTGTTTTGGCCCACACCAGGCCTAAGTCCCAACCATGCCCTGCTCTCCGGGGCTAAGCACAATTCGATTGGGCTTGTGTGATCAGATCCTAATTAACAACACATGATGTTTTCTCTCCACACACAGATCCACAGGGTCAGTGTCCAGTGCTGTGTCCATGAAGAGTGACTTGTCTATAGATGAACCTCCAGTCTTCAGCCCTGAACCTGCTCCTCCAGACTCACTGTAAGAACAAATGTCACGCTAAAATAACATGGCATATAAAGAGAAATAAGGATTATCTGGGCCTGGGAAACTTTATGCCACAGACACTGACCCTACAGCAGGAGAATCCCAGAGAAAACCTTTTCTAAATAAATCATATTGTGAATAAAACTGTAATAGATAAATAACACAATGAAAGTATCTATAGTGTATCATAATTATGTGAAGTATTTTACCCATTACAGCTGATGCATAAAAAGATACATCCAAATACTGAGCCCAAAATAATATTGTTCATCTCTCTATTATTGAACAGTTTGCCAACTCAGTAATTATTTTAACAAGATTTGTACAATATGCATTTATCTTTGTGATATTTTAAGTCTTCTAACATTCTTAACAGACAAACAATGGCCAACAAGATTAAATTAGTTTGGTTTATTTGTCATTTTTATGTTACATAAAAACAAAACTGTGTTTCACGGGGATGACAATTCAGTGCAACAGTAGATGAAGTAAAAGTTGTATAGAGTCCAATCAGAGTGTCTGATTTACCAGCCTAACTGCTGTGGGCAGGAAGCTGTGGAGCATTAGTAACAATAGTTCTGTATAGAGAACTATGTAGAGAATGTCCTCTTCAACAAATCAGTCTACTGCTTCGTCCACCTGAGCGTCCAGGAGTTTATGGCAGCGGTTTACCTGCTCCACTGCTTTGGAAGTGACACACGTGTTGTTCTGAGGTTTCTTGATGAAAAGAAAAATAAAACATTAAGTGCAAGTGAGTTTCTCAAAAGATCTTTTAACAAATCCCTGAAGAGTTCAAATGGCCACCTGAACCTGTTTGTGCGCTTCCTTCATGGCCTCAGTCTGGACTCCAACCAGAGACTTTTAGGAGGTCTGCTGAGTCCAGTAAACCAATCAGAAATCCCAGAAGTTATTAAAAACTTGAAAGCAATCAGCTCAAAGGGCGTCTCTCTTGACCAAAACATCAACATCTTCCACTGTCTGATGGAAATGAAGGATGAGTCTCTCCTGCAGCAGATCCAGGACCTCCTGAAGTCTAGAGGAGGATCACAGGAGGAACTGTCTGAGTTCCAGTGCTCGGCTCTGGCCTACATGCTGCAGATGTCAGACCAGGTCCTGGAGGAACTGGACCTACAGAAGTACAAGACGTCTAAAGGGGGTAGACTGAGACTGATCCCAGCGGTGAGGAACTGCAGGAAGGCTCGGTCAGTCCTCATTCACAAACAGCAGCTTCACAGATCTGTGTTAGGACTCATTTACATTTAATTACTAGGGCTGGGCAAAATTTAAAAAAATGTTAATCGCATGAGTTTGAGTGTGATTAATCGCGATTAATCGCATGTTATACGCAAAACCAATTAATGAATTAAAAATCTATGTATAGCACACTTTTATTAAAAATACAAATGCAAGATCCATACATTTGTTGTGCAAACATCATTTCTTTCAGAGGGGAACCCTCAGAGCCTTCAAGGTATTTAGTGAAGGCCCAAAAAAAAATACTGAATGAATTTTTGTACTACTAACGTGTATATATATATATATATATATATATATATATATATATATATATATATATATATATATTATTTTTTTTTTTTTTTTCAAATAATTTTTATTCAGTGAGTAATAAACACTACACTAGTAATAATTTCTAGATCATTGTTATTGGGAAACAAAAGGTTAATACAAAGGAATGGAAATGGACCAATCACAATTTTTCTTCCATTGGTATCTGGGTAAATCACTGACTCCCCCTGCAGCATTGAACTAAAGAAACACTTGCAAGGCCTTCAGTGGCTAGAACGAAGACCCGTGCAATTCAGCTCAGTGTGGGGGAAGAGTTTGAGATTGACAGTTGTCGTAGCCAATCATATTTCATTGAGTTATGGGCGGGATCATATTGCGACATCGCAAATTTGGAGCTGGGCCGGACCTTAGAGCCTGTGGTCGAGCCGGAGTTCGGAGCTGAGCAGGAGCTCAGAGCCTGCGGAAGCTCGGACACGTTGCATCTCACATGTTCGGCCGAAGCCTCTCTTTACTTTTCGGACTGTTTTCTCTAAGCACCACAGCTGTTAGCAACATTCAAGGCTCGCTCAAATGAGTGGACTGTTTCAAAATAAAAGCCAGTGAGCAACAGACATTTAGAATTAAAAAAAAAAAATATATATATATATATATATATATATATATATATATATATATATATATATATATATATATATATATATATATATATAATATATAATATATAATAATAAAAACTGCGTTAACTGTGTTAAAATAATTGTCCGCGATAATGAATTAAATAGTTAACGCAAAATTAACGCGTTAACGTGCCCGGCCCTATTAATTACATATAATACATGTTAGGACTAATCACATTTAAATGAAATATCTGTTCACAGGCTTGTTGACTGTGAACTCTCAGAGACTCACTGTGAAGTGGTGGCCTCAGCGCTGAAGTCCAGCCCCTCCCATCTGAAAGAGCTCGATCTGAGTCGGAATGACCTGAGAGACTCTGGAGTGTCTGTGCTGTGTGATGGACTGCAGAGTCCTCACTGTGAACTCTCCACTCTCAGGTCAGTCTACTCTGTTTAAACACAAAGTTAGTGCACTATTAAACACACTGTTAAGTGTTTATCCCAACACTTAACAGTCTTATACTGTTCAGTGTTTGGATAAATGTCATTTAAATTGAATCACCAAAGTATAATTCTAGTGTCATTATCATTTCTCATCAATGTTTGGGAAACTCAGGATATGTGTCTGGAACAGGATCTGAATCTGATGACATGGTTTTCACAGAATTAGTTTAGAGTCTTTTCTTATACTTCTTTTAAATCAATGAAAAAAACATTTAAATCATCCTCTTAATCCTTGTTTAGTCCTGGTTCAGTTCTGGTGCCATCCTAGTTCAAACCAACTGTCTGCTTATTGTGAGATGTTAATATTTCCGTTGTTTTCAGAGTAAAGATTATTGACACAAGTAGAAAACTACACGTGCCGCTGATAGATCACTAATCCTCCATGTGCACATGGAATCATGTATTTAGCATCACTCTCAGTTTGAAGACTTCAACGGGTCTTTTCTCTGAGGTCACAGACTCTCTGTCGTGTTCTCTGTACAGCAGGACTCTTTTCCTCATGTCCAGTGCACAGATACAGTGGACTTGCCCCTCGTGTGTATGTATGTGCTGAGAGAGACTTATACATCGGAGCAAGGCTCTTTGATCCTGGTTGAGGCACTGATACATGTGACCAATGTTAATGAGCGACAGAATAACTCATCATGATTAATTCTTTTTTGAGTAAATAAGATAAAAACGTGCTAACATGCCCAGCCTTAGTTTTAATTATTATTAATGCTATATTATCACATCTTTATTATTCAGAATGTCTCAAAAAGTAGAATAATCTATATTTTTATGGACTTGAACCACATCATATTCTTTATTCAGATGTGTTCAAGGTTTGAACTAAAGTCATGTTTTGGAGAAATGAGTTGAAGCTGTGGGGACTTGGTGCAGTGAACGACAAATAATGTGTTAACACTGGAGAAAAAGTGTCATATAAGATGTATAACCACATCATGTTTTCTTTATTCAGACTGAAGGACTGTGATTTGTCAGAGATGAGCTGTTCCTCTCTGGCCTCAGCTCTGAAGTCCAACCCCTCACATCTCACACAACTGGATCTGAGTTGGAACAGACTGTTTGATTCAGGAGTGTTTCATCTGTGTGGTTTTCTGCAGAGTCCAGACTGTCGACTGGAGACTCTCAGGTCAGTTCAGTGTCTCTTACTTGTGTCATGTTTCTTTCACTAAAGAGCTCGGCCATAATAAGCTCTAGTATTTACTCTGGACTTGGACTCAGAGGTGGACAATAATTATATTCAAACAAAGTACACTAGAACTTTTCTGGTGGGGTTCTGCCTCCTGCTCGTCTCCATGGAGATGATATTGTGTTGTCTGGAATGTTCCACAGTATAAACTTAAACATATTTATCACACATCTATTCAGTTATTGGTGTTTCATTGTTCAAAAAAAATATCATTAAAAACATCTTTTCCTACTCTAGACCTGACTTGTTAGTTGTCCTGGTGGTGTTAGCTGCTTGTCTCCATGGTGATAGATAAATTTAATTCCTGGAACACACTCATGAAGAACTCAACTTTTACATAAAAAGAAATGTATTGTGGATTTATTTGGCATTAAATCCAGAAAAGATTTTAAACATGATTTCATATGTTTGTATTACTATTAATGCTTTATTATCATGTCTTTATTTGATTATTCACAATGTCTCTATGAACACAATCTATATTTCTATGTCGGCCTGTTATGCTAACACATTTTGAAATATGATATATCGCTGAAGAAAATAGAGACAATAAACGATAAAACTGAAACAAATTTATGCCTCTGACACAAAAACCCAAGAGCAGATTTAAGACACCAAAACTATTTTAAATCTACAATATTGTTAAAAAAAAAAAAAAAAAAACATGAGCTGCAACAAATAAACAGAAAGAAAGACTTTAGTATTTAGTTTGCATCTGTAATGAGTCAGAAGTTATGAATGAAACTTTCTACTATTAAGGTACTTATTCTTTTGAAAAAGAATTTAGCTGATTTTAATTGATTTAATTGATTTCTTAAATTTTTTAGCCGCTTTTATATTTTTGTGTATTTGGTTTGCTCAAAGTTGGGCTGTTAACACAAACTAAATGTGATAAAAACACAAAGTCTCCTCCATTTCAGCAGGTCTCACACTGTAAAGAAAAGTACTTTTTATTTGTCAGTCCAGATCTAAAATGTACTCGAGTAGGAAGTACAGATACCTGCTCTCAAATGTAGTGAAATAAAGTAAAAAGTATCTACTCTAAAATTTTACTGTAAGTAAAGTATAGATACCTAAAATTTGTACTCAAGTATTGTACTTTTACTTTTGTACTTCATTATCTTCCACCACTGGTTCAAGGTTTGAACTAAAGTCATGTTTTGGAGAAATAAGTTGAAGCTGTGGGGACTTGGTGCAGTGAACGACAAATAATGTGTTAACACTGGAGAAAAAAGTGTCATATAAGATGTATAACCACATCATGTTTTCTTTATTCAGATTGAGGTGGTGTGGTTTGTCAGAGATGAGCTGTTCCTCTCTGGTCTCAGCTCTGAAGTCCAACCCCTCACATCTCACAAAACTGGATCTGGGTTTTAACACAGACCTGTCTGATTCAGGAGTGTCTCATCTGTGTGGTTTTCTGCAGAGTCCAGACTGTCGACTGGAGACTCTCAGGTCAGTTCAGTGTCTCTTACTTGTGTCATGTTTCTTTCACTAAAGAGCTCGGCCATAATAAGCTCTAGTATTTACTCTGGACTTGGACTCAGAGGTGGACAATAATTATATTCAAACAAAGTACACTAGAACTTTTCTGGTGGGGTTCTGCCTCCTGCTCGTCTCCATGGAGATGATATTGTGTTGTCTGGAATGTTCCACAGTATAAACTTAAACATATTTATCACACATCTATTCAGTTATTGGTGTTTCATTGTTAAAAAAAATACCTTTAAAAACATCTATTCCTACTCTGAGTGGGCCCGCCTCTCCACAGACCTGACTTGTTAGTTGGCCTGGTGGCATTAGCTGCTTGTCTCCATGGTGATAGATAAATTTAATTCCTGGAACACACTCATGAAGAACTCAACTTTTACATGAAAAGAAATGTGTTGTGGATTTATTTGGCATTAAATCCAAAAAAGATTTTAAACATGATTTCATATGTTTGTATTATTATTAATGCTTTATTATCATGTCTTTATTTGATTATTCACAATGTCTCTATGAGCACAATCTATATTTCTATGTCGGCCTGTTACAGTAACACGTTTTGAAGTACGATATATCGCTGAAGAAAACAGACGATAAACGATAACAATGAAACTAATTTATGTCTGTCACAAAAAAAAACAAGAGCAGATTTAAACCACAAAAACTATTCTAAATCTACAATATTGTTAAAAAAAAAAAAAAAAAACATGAGCTGCAACAAATAAACAGCAGAAAGAAAGACTTTAGTACTTAGTTTGCATCTGTAATGAGTCAGAGAAGTTATGAATTCAACCTTCTACTATTAAGGTACCTGTTTAAAAATGTTCTTAAAGAATAAAAAGTTAAATATTTTGCAGAGATTTTTAGAACAATTAAAGAATGAAATGTAGTGATTTTGAAAAAGAATTTAGCTGATTTTAATCGATTCAATTGATTTCTTAATTTTTCTAGCTGCTTTTGTGTTTTGTGTATTTGGTTTGTTCAAAGTTGGGCTGTTAACACAAAATAAACGTGATAAAAACACAAAGTCTCCAGCATTTCAGCAGGTCTCACACTGTAAAGAAAAGTACTTTTTACTTGTTATTCCAGATCTAAAATGTACTCAAGTAGGAAGTACAGATACCTGCTCTCAAATGTAGTGAAATAAAGTCAAAAAGTATCTACTCTAAAATTTTACTTTAAGTAAAGTACAGATACCTAAAATTTGTACTTAAGTATTGTACTTTTACTTTTGTACTTCATTATCTTCCACCACTGGTTCAAGGTTTGAACTAAAGTCATGTTTTGGAGAAATGAGTTGAAGCTGTGGGGACTTGGTGCAGTGAACGACAAATAATGTGTTAACACTGGAGAAAAAGTGTCATATAAGATGTATAACCACATCATGTTTTCTTTATTCAGATTGAAGGAGTGTGGTTTGTCAGAGATGAGCTGTTCCTCTCTGGCCTCAGCTCTGAAGTCCAACCCCTCACATCTCACAAAACTGGATCTGGGTTTTAACACAGACCTGTCTGATTCAGGAGTGTCTCATCTGTGTGGTTTTCTGCAGAGTCCAGACTGTCGACTGGAGACTCTCAGGTCAGTTCAGTGTCTCTTACTTGTGTCATGTTTCTTTCACTAAAGAGCTCGGCCATAATAAGCTCTAGTATTTACTCTGGACTTGGACTCAGAGGTGGACAATAATTATATTCAAACAAAGTACACTAGAACTTTTCTGGTGGGGTTCTGCCTCCTGCTCGTCTCCATGGAGATGATATTGTGTTGTCTGGAATGTTCCACAGTATAAACTTAAACATATTTATCACACATCTGTTCAGTTATTGGTGATTCATTGTTCAAAAAAAAATATCATTAAAAACATCTTTTCCTACTCTAGACCTGACTTGTTAGTTGTCCTGGTGGTGTTAGCTGCTTGTCTCCATGGTGATAGATACATTTAATTCCTGGAAGACACTCATGAAGAACTCAACTTTTACATAAAAAGAAATGCGTTGTGGATTTATTTGGCATTAAATCCAGAAAAGATTTTAAACATGATTTCATATGTTTGTATTACTATTAATGCTTTATTATCATGTCTTTATTTGATTATTCACAATGTCTCTATGAACACAATCTATATTTCTATGTCGGCCTGTTATGCTAACACATTTTGAAATATGATATATCGCTGAAGAAAATAGAGACAATAAATGATAAAACTGAAACAAATTTATGCCTCTGACACAAAAACCCAAGAGCAGATTTAAGACACCAAAACTATTTTAAATCTACAATATTGTTAAAAAAAAAAAAAAAACATGAACTGCAACAAATAAACAGAAAGAAAGACTTTAGTACTTAGTTTGCATCTGTAATGAGTCAGAAGTTATGAATGAAACTTTCTACTATTAAGGTACTTACTCTTTTGAAAAATAATTTAGCAGATTTTAATTGATTTAATTGATTTCTTAAATTTTTTAGCCGCTTTTATATTTTTGTGTATTTGGTTTGCTCAAAGTTGGGCTGTTAACACAAACTAAATGTGATAAAAACACAAAGTCTCCTCCATTTCAGCAGGTCTCACACTGTAAAGAAAAGTACTTTTTACTTGTCAGTCCAGATCTAAAATGTACTCGAGTAGGAAGTACAGATACCTGCTCTCAAATGTAGTGAAATAAAGTCAAAAGTATCTACTCTAAAATTTAACTTTAAGTAAAGTACAGATACCTAAAATTTGTACTTAAGTATTGTACTTTTACTTTTGTACTTCATTATCTTCCACCACTGGTTCAAGGTTTGAACTAAAGTCATGTTTTGGAGAAATGAGTTGAAGCTGTGGGGACTTGGTGCAGGGAACGACAAATAATGTGTTAACACTGGAGAAAAAGTGTCATA